TACTCATATTCTTCATGAGCTCATCCCAGAGGATGATGCAGTTTTGATTGAAAATTATCAGAATATCATGGGAGCAGTTTTACATCTTCAAGAGCCTCTCAGTATTCCATTACTTTCAAAGCTTCTTGGCTATGACAATGATGTTGATGTTAAAGCCATGTTAGAGCTAATGAGTGCAGTTCTAATTATGCCAGAAAAGAAGGATGATGTTGTCCGCATTGCCCATTTATCTTTCTGGGAATATGCAACATCTAAAGGGGCCAGAAAGGTTGTACACTCCAAATTCAAATATCGGCCTGAGCTGGATTTGGATGCTTGCAAACATCATGAATGTCTCCTTCATGCAACTTTATCTGTTATGATGTCAGAGTTGAAGTTCAATATATGTCACCTGGAATCCTCCTTTTTGGCTAATGACCAAGTGGAGAACCTTCAAGTACTCATTGATAGATATATTGGAGGGCATCTGTCCTATTCATGCAGATTTTGGTCAGCTCACTTGAATGAGCTCAGAACTGTGCATTCTATTTCTTTGGAACAAGGTTTGAAGGATTTTTTGGAGAAAAGGTTTCTATGGTGGCTAGAGGTCATAAGCCTTCTTAAGCATGTGGATACTGCAGCATTAGCAATTCTGTCAATTGCAGATTGGAGCAAGGTATTAATTCATGATTATTATAATGTAAGCTTAAATAATGTTCTATAAAAACAGGTTAAAAATGATGAGCTGGCATCTGCGGCACTTGATGCTGTCAGTTTCATCCGTGCTTTCAGCAGTGCAATATCTCACAGTGCACCTCATATCTATATATCAGCCTTACCCTTCAGCCCAATAAAATCCATGATCTGGAGGAACTTTGCAGGCAGCCATCCAAACAAGCTATCTCTAGACATAGGCCAACAGACTGATTGGCCTGCTATTCAGCTAGTCTTGGCTGGTCATGCAGAGTTTGTAGAGTCTGTGGCAATCTCATCAGATGGAAAGAGAGTAGTCTCGGGCTCTTATGACAAGACTATCCGAATCTGGAATGCAGAGACTGGAGAGCAAGTAGTGAAGCCAATACTGGGACATACATCTTGGGTTAGATCTGTTGGATTCTCATCAGATGGGAAGAGAGTAGTCTCGGGCTCTGATGACAACACTATCCGAATCTGGAATGCAGAGACTGGAGAACAAGTAGTGGAACCAATATTGGGACATACAAATTCGGTCACATCTGTTGGATTCTCATCAGATGGCAAGAGAGTAGTCTCGGGCTCTCATGACGAGACCATCCGAATCTGGAATGCAGAGACTGGAGAACAAGTAGTGGAACCAATATTGGGACATACAAATTCGGTCACATCTGTTGGATTCTCATCAGATGGAAAGAGAGTAGTCTCGGGCTCTCATGACAAGACTATCCGAATCTGGAATGCAGAGACTGGAGAACAAGTAGTGGAACCAATATTGGGACATACAGATTCAGTGTTACATCTGTTGGATTTTCATCAGATGGAAAGAGAGTAGTCTCAGGCTCTAGGGACCACACTATCCAAATTTGGAATGCAGAGACTGGAGAACAAGTAGTGGAACCAATATTGGGACATACAAATCTGGTGGAATCTGTTGGATTCTCATCAGATGGCAAGAGAGTAGTCTCGGGCTCTCATGACAAGACCATCCGAATCTGGAATGCAGAGACTGGTGAACAAGTAGTGGAACCAATATTGGGACATACAGATTCGGTCACATCTGTTGGATTCTCATCATGGAAAAGAGAGTAGTCTCGGGCTCTCATGACAAGACTATCCGAATCTGGAATTCAGAGACTGGGTGAACAAGTAGTGGAACCAATATTGGGACATACAGATTGTGTTACATCTGTTGGATTTTCATCAGATGGAAAGAGAGTAGTCTCGGGCTCTTATGACGAGACTATCCGAATCTGGAATGCAGAGACTGGAGAACAAGTAGTGGAACCAATATTGGGACATACAGATGGGGTCACATCTGTTGGATTCTCATTGGATGGAAAGAGAGTAGTCTCAGGCTCTAGGGACCACATATCCAAATTTGGAATGCAGAGACAGGAGAACAAGTAGTGGAACCAATATTGGGACATACAGATGGGGTCACATCTGTTGGATTCTCATCAGATGGAAAGAGAGTAGTCTCGGGCTCTATTGACAAGACTGTCCAAATCTGGAATGCAGAGACTGGGGAACAAGTAATGGAACCAATATTGGGACATACAGGTTTGGTTACATCTGTTGAATTCTCATCAGATGGAAAGAGGGTAGTCTCGGGCTCTTATGACAAGACTATCAGAATCTGGAATGCAGAGACTGGAGAACAAGTAGTAGAACCAATGTTGGGACATACACATCCGGTTACATCTGTTGGATTCTCATCCAATAGAAAGAGAGTAATATCTGGTTCTGATGACAAGACTGTCCAAATCTGGAATGCAGAGTTAAATGTTGATACATCTTTTCATGCTATTGCAAGTAAGTCATTCCCTTTATATCTGGCTGAGCATTTTTTCATTCTCTATTCCCAGGTCAGCCTGATCCCTTTGCCATGATCAATGGCTGGGTTCATGGAAGAAATTCCGAGTTGCTCTTCTGGGTTCCACCTCAGTGTCGAGTGGCACTCTGGCATCCCAATAACACTCTGGTCATTGGTGAAAACCCAACAAGGTTGAACTTTGGTAAATTTGTCTTTGGTAGGAATTGGCAGGCTTGCTACTCCCCAGATACACCAGCAGCATAATTCATGACTGGTCTTTGATTTTTGATATCCATAATGTATCATGCTGCAGCTGGCTGAACTTATTTTTTGTAACTGTACAGTATAAGAATATCAACTTGAAGAGCAATTTGAGATGCTCATGTTCCAGAGATCAGTACAAGTGGTTCACTGGCATGGCTTTTTCACTAAAAAGCTGAATGCCAGATTGATGCAATTTCAAGTTGGCGATGGACTGAATGAGATATAGTTTCAACTACTTACTTTGACCAAATTTGAGCAGATACGCATTGAGATTCGAACCTTTGCGTTCAAGAGGAGAATGGAAGCCGCAAAATGGTTGGACAGCTAATGAGGGATGTGGCTGGACAGTGGTAAGTAGTACTAGATGAAAAGACCAAAGAGAGCTGGAACGGGGGAGATTCAAGTAGTGCTCTACTTAAGGGTAAAGCCTTAAGTAGCTAAAGCCTTAAGCGCTAAGGCTTCAAGGATTCTGGTGAGAGAGAGAATACAACCACTCAAAGCTCTTCCTCTTTCTGCCTTTGCACACAGCAGAAAGAACCTGGTTTACTCCCAGTTCAACACTGTTGAGAAGCGTCAGTAGGCGTTAGCGGAAGAGTCAGTGAACACATACTATGACATTTAAGTTGATAGTTACACGTATTCATACTGCAAAATCCATTCCATTATGTTCGATTTCAAGTAAAACGTATGAGTAAAAAGTATAGAACAGCCATGTCCGTCGTCCTTCAAAAAATCGGTATAAAATCCTGTATCCTATCCTTCGCATTCTGCGCAGATACACTCCATGATCTACATGTAATATTCCTAATCTCCTGCTCCTTCAACTCATATACGCATAAAACACGCAATACTAGAATTGTTGGAGGAAAGCGAGCGTGTTGAGGTGGACTTTGGTTTGGAAGAAACGGTCTTCGAGTTGGGAGAGGATGCCGCTGCCTGCGTCGACCCCGATTGGAAAGCGCCCCATGCTGCATCCGAAGAAAAACTGTCTATACTCGCTAACATTCTCGACATACCATCCTAAGCCTGATCAATCTCATCCGCTTTAGCAGTGGTATTATTCCCTTCAGGGAACAACCTCCCAATGCTCGGAAAGAGTTTGGCTCGCTCCTCTTTCGATAAATCAGTGTTGAATGAGTTTATAGTGATATTGACTGTGCGTCGATCGGCTCGAAGGAGAAGGATGCGGTTCATGACGTCCGAGGATACCGCCGAGGGTGAGGCAGTACTAGGAAATAAAAGTCTTCGAGATAGGCTTCGTAGACGGTGTTTAGGATGATTTTGATGTTGAGATTATCTAGGTCGGAGGTGGAGAGGAAGTCTCGGAAGTACCGGGCTGGAAGGAGTGGGTGAGTGAAGTAGAGGAAGGGTATGGTATGTATACGCACCGAGTGGTGTTTCTACCAAAACACTTTGGTATAACTCTTCTACGCATGGAGACTACACAGAGAGCAAACATAGACTCGAATGCGCCCAACAGATGTACATCGTTCAATCACAATCAGTTCATGCATATCTCGTTAGTGCAGCGCGCCGGTAATGAGAAGAATGACATTGTCAATCATGTACCCGTACATGCGGGAGAGCAAGTTGGGAAGTCCAAACCAAGTACCCAAACCAAATCCCACAAATCCAAACCCATACGCACGTAACACAATCCAAAAAACTTGCTTAGAGGTTCAACAGTGTTATTTCGTAGATACTTGAACTGGTCGACGAGAATCTGCGTAGTCTTTTCTGCAATGGGTGCTGATAGAGATTGGCAGGGCTCGTTGGCGAGGAAGTCGTCCGTAGTCATATCGTGCTGATTGCTGGGTACGGAAGTCTGATCAAGTGCAATAAAAGGATTTTAGATAGATGGAATGAAAGAGAAATGGCTCGGCTAGCTGACCTTCGACTCGCATTATTGAGCCTGCCCGAGTTCCCCGAAGGACCTGGAGTTGGGAATGAGGAGCCCTCCTGCTAGTAGTAACGACTTGTGACGCTTCGTCCGCCTACAAACTCGGATTCAGCAAATTCAGCGAAACCTGTCAAAGGCGAATCTTCCGATAGCAACCTCAGCCTGCATCGTCTTTAAATTGTGCCTGCTGTCTATGGGCAAAGAGTTATCTTATGATAATCTCTTCTATTGGCTGCCGCCCAGGCTGTCACAGATACATTGTAAGGTGCATGTACAGTATACTGTACTTCGTCAATGAATTCGATTGAAAAAAAGGAAGAATCCAACTGGAGTATGCGATACTCAATACGTCACCTCTGCGATTCGAACGCTGAGCACTGGATACACTGAAAGAGCAAACTAGCAGGTGATCGCGTTAGACCACTGCGGTAAAGTGACCATAGAAGAAACGGACTACAACCTCTTTCTGTGATTGATGTTATTTTGAGGCGGCGGAAGCGGAGGAGTGCAGATGTCGGAGGCGGCGCTGATAAACACCAAAGCCCTGGAGGCACTCCGCGGCATGTTGAGTGAACAAGTGTCGTTCGAGCGCAGCAAGCGGCCACAAAGGATCAGTTACGCCATTCGGGACGAAAGAAAGAGAAGAACTCGGGCTCGGAACCCCATCCAACGGCTCCACCTGCTTAGCCTCCTCCAGAGATAGATGATAGGCGTTGATGACACTGTTCGGTAGGATCTCTGAGACTCGCTGTGAACAACGAAAATGAATTCAAGTTGATTTTGAACATGGACCTGTCCGAACATGTATCCTAAAATCTAGACTAAGAGAATAGACTCCGAGTCATCGCTCGAGCTGGGGGAACCAGATCCAGATTGGATAGTAAACATTGGACTGCAATTGCCAGAATCGCCCATCACTAGCGAATTGCGAATAAGCTGCAGGATATGGACGGATGGGATGGGATGGCATACTCACAGACAACCGTGTAATTCGTCCCCGTAGGCACATTAGGAACCCTTATCTTTGCCAGTCCTAGCGTTAGATTGACCCTTGAAGCGAGTGGATGGTCTAGTTGGGATAATCAGAAACGGTAGCATCAAATAAGGCTCAGTGACTCACTAATATCCAAATTTCGCTTGTACTATTCGGCGAGGCAAGGAATATCGTGCCCTGCGGGTTGGTGATATGGGCAGGTGGATTACTGGTATCCCTGTCGACGCGAAAGACGTTAGAGATTAGGCGTTTTCACAGCACAGTGGTACGGAGCGTACCATGTCACTTGGGCAATGGAATTCGCCTGCCAAACAGTCCCAGTGGTAGGGGTAAGAATCTTGGGCGAATAAACGTCGCGGGTCTGAAGGCGGCTAGTCGTGGGTACAGCTAGACCGTTGACAGCAGCGAGGAAAAGGGGAAGAACAGAGAACGAATTGACTTTGTGGAAATACATCGGCCAGCGAGAATTCCAGATGGCGGTCAAGAGTCAGAAGCCAAGGAATGGCTGTGATCGGTTCGGGATTTTTTACTGTTTCAATGTTGTCTTATCAATTAGCATTTCAATTAGCTACAGTGTAGATAGTCTAAAGTGCCCTAATTCAGCTATAGCTATGTAGAGTACCCTAATTCGGATTAGCTGCTGACTCGGACTCGCTAGGCCAAGGATGGTCACTACACGTGCCTCTTGCCACGGTGTGACTCTGTTCGTTTTTTCGTGGACTCCATCACTCGCCATGTCAAGGCCCTTTTGTTGTTAGTTTGACTCGTGTTTACCGCCTTTGTTCGCTATAAAAGCAGGTGAGCCATACCATCAAATCGCACCCGCTTGCAACTAACATGCATGTTGCTATAGCTTCTTTTGTTCAATATTAACGCCTCAATTCTTCACCGAATGAACTTTCACTGTCCATACTTTATACACCCACGATATGAACCACAGCCGAAGCCGTAAAGAAAATATACCCATAATGGCTTCCTCCTCTTCATCCCAATCTCAATCCCTCAAACGTTCATGTATTACCGCACAGTATCTCCTTTCCCCTTTAGAAACGCTAGACGAGTCCTTGTCTGACCAGGACGAAGAGCGTATCGATCTGCATGACCTAGCCGAAGCATACAACGTGCTCGCAACGAGGATTGCACGAATCATGACCAAAGGCGTCGAGTCTGCTGCGATTCCGCTACTTGCAGAGCGCTCGAGCATCCTGGTACCCGCTCTCCGCCGCGATCTAATGCGTGTCATGATCAATCCATGCTTATCTTCAGACGACATGGATCCAGACCAAGTGCAGTATGCTAGCGATTTGGCTCTGCTCGGTCAACAAGCCCTACGCGTGATCTCAGACTTGTTTACTTTACCCGAGTTGTACAAGACGATACCTGGTGCGCACCATGTACTCTCTATCTATCTATTATTCTCTAATTCTTTGCTTCCTAGGAGATCAACTCTGCCTTTTACTCGGCGACATCCTACACCTTCTTTCCCAACCATCTCTCCCGACACCCCAATCCAACGCACATTTGCTCTCCTGCGGTTCATACTCCAGGTCCAGAAGCTTCCCACCAACGTTCTCGCTCCTCACAAATCCAAGATCATTGCCAGCGTGAAGCGGTGTTTGAACGGGCATGAGCAGGTTGACGGTCTGATGGTCCGTACTACTTTATCCTTGCTTTCCTCTCACTCACTCACAGCGCCTTTAGATCCTAGCAGAGCTCCTCCGTACTCAACCCAAACTATTCCTCGGACCCGCATGCAACTTTCTCGACGAAGCCCTCAAATCCCTCATCGACGACTCCTCCAAAGCTCGCAACGCAGCAGCACATGCCCTCAGCGCCTTTGCTTCCGCCAAACTAGCCCACAACCTGACCTACACACAAAAAGTCTCACATGAACTTTCCCAGTGTCGTAGCGCAAATTCCTAGAAGCGGATCGGGTAGTGTTGCTGCTGCCCAAGATCCTAGAATCCGCATGCCAAGTCACTCAAGTCGTTTTCGACGGTGAAGGACCGCAATGGGCTGCGGTTGTTATGGCGTCTTTTATTGTCTTGATAGACTATCCGATTTTCGATAGTAGGGCGATGAGGACTATCAAGGATCGGCTTTGGGATATTGCGGAGCATAAGGGACGGATTGTTAGGAGGTTGAGTGGGCCAGTGTGGAGGTGCTTTGTGTGGGCTTTTGCGAGGATGCCTGCGGAGAAGGATAAAGCCAAGGAGAGGGAGATGGTTAGGAAGGTGCAGACTTTTTTGTCGCAGGATTATAGGAGTGGGACTGGGGCAGAGACGTGTCGTGTGTTTTTCAGCCATGCGAGCGGCGAGTCTGTGGAGAGGGTCGTCGAAGTTGTCGAGGTCATGTTGAAAGAGAAAAAGATGCAGCAGGATGGATTGATTCTTCTAGCCCAGCTTCTCGCACCTGTGCCTCCGCAGGAAACTCAAACCCCAACCCCAGCCCCAACCCCAACTCGATTCGACACCAACGCCATCCTGCACTCCCACCTCTTCAACGGAAACATTCTCAAATCTGACCTCCCATCGTTGCATGAATACACTCCACGCCATAAAGCGGACGTTAGGCCGCTTAGTGTTCAAGAGACGATAAACCATTGGGACGAATTGTATGATTTTTGGATGGTTGGTGCTGGGCTTGTGTTGCGTGATTCTGCGCTGCTGCAGATTCCGGTATGTCCTCATCGAATTCCAATTCTAAAGCTGCTTTTTTTTCTAAATCTCTGGATAGAAATCCATCCTTACCGCCTGGCAAACTCTTCTCCTAGCCGACTCTGAATTTTCCCAAAGCCAAGGGTTTCATCTCGCTCCTAGTCCGAAACTGGTATACATAAGCTGGGTGGTCTATGTTCCGCTTTGCGAGTGCCAGTGAACGTAAACCTGGACGTGCAAGTCCAAGTGGAACTGGAACTCAAACAAATTCGCCTCCTACACAAACTCTGGCAAACCGCCCAACGAACATTCTCCCAATCGGGGTTGGAGGAAACGCGTGCTGTGGAGGTGTTCCTAGGTGGTGTTGTAAGGAGGGATTTTCGGATTGGGGAGGGGAGGGTACAGGGTGAGTGGGTGAGGATGTGTCAGGGAGTTGTGGTGTATCCGAGTAGGGAGGAGTTGTTGCGTCAACTTGAAGTTGGTGGTGAAACAAGTCCAACTCGGTCGATGTTTAATATGCAGACGTGGGTGATTGTTGCACGTAGATGGGTTGAGGAAGGAGTTGCGGGGGATAGTTTGGTGACGTTTTTGAAGTTTCCGTTCCCGTATGTTGTTCATTCTATCTCTTTCTTTTGTACTGATGTATGTATGGTGTTTTAGGGAACGGCTGACGACAGACGAAGAGATTGAACTCTGGGGAATGCTTTTCCGTGTTGCATTGGCCGCTGCTAGAGTTCATCGTGGAGCTAACGAGGCAGCTATGGGGCTATGGCAGGCGTTAGTCCCAGACGGAGCAGAATTGTTAGTTTTGTTTTGTTCGTTTTTTTTCTCTTTCGTTAGTTGACCCCTTTGTCCAGACCACTCGCTTTCCCTAAACAATTCCACGCCCTTTTATCAGCCTTTGTCATTCCGTTTGAGAACAAAACGCTAGCGGAGCAAGTGTTGCATGTTATGAACAGCGTTTTAAACTCGTTGTATCCTCCGAGCATGGATTCGAATACGAATGCCTACGAATACTAATAGCGAATCCTCCACGACTACTCGACAATGACATGGACATCTCTCTGCGATATATCGCCACGATCTATAATATGATTATTTCTGTCCCGATACGCTGCTTGTATCCTCCTTGGCTATGGTGTGCCATAGCATCTCCCGCTGGCTCGAAGATAAATCCGAGGTCATACCCGACCAGATCTACTTTAAACATGTACGTCTTTCTTTCAGACCCTCTCTTTCTTCCAAACCCTTTCTTTTTAAACCTTCTCTTCTTTCGAACCCTCTCTTTCAAACCCCTCTTCGTCTTCCATGGTTTTCACACCTTGCCTCTCTTTCAAACCCTCTCTTTTAAACTCACACCCCCATTCATCTCTCAAATCTCACATGTCTGAAACTCAATCTTAAATTTGAAATCTAAACCTAAACCAAACCCATTCAGATCTTCCCATTGTACTCGCAAGTCCTCAACAAACTCATCAAAGAACAGCCAAATCAAAAGACCCTCAACACGTTATGGATGCTCTTCATCGCTCCCCTTGATGGGCCTGAAAGTCGTGCTGGAGGGGTGTTCCATTACTTTGAAGATTTCTGGCTCGCCACTTACCATAAACGACCGGAATTTATTCCCCAGTACGAACCAGAGTTGAAGATGGTTTTGAAGGCGCTTGGAAAGGTGGATGAGCGTGGATTTGCGGCTGGGTTGACGCAGAGTGATGATTCGCAGGGAACGGTGAGTTACCTTTTGCTTGGGGTTGCTTGGAATTCACCTTTTTAACTTGATTCAGGTC